CAGTTCCTCATTAAAATATATTCCATTCTTCCAACTTGTTTGTTATCATATCGTCTCATTGCAGTGGGTTATTTTGATCTCATATACTACTAGCAAACATTCAAATTCTTTTCTTGTTCACTCTATCATATTTTCATGTAAACAGTCTATGTCATATGCAAAGCTAGCTGGACTTCAACCAATATATGGACTTTGTAAGTTGACTATCTGCTCTTCACATATGATAGTTTTCTCCAAATTCAAATAACTTTATTAACAAATATTTCATCACAGATACAGGATTAGTGCCTATATTTGTCTACTGCATATTCGGTTCATCACGCCAGCTGGCTGTTGGTCCGGTAGCACTGGTTTCTTTATTGGTCTCTAATGTTCTAGGCAATGTTGACTCATCTGGTGAATTATATACAGAACTTGCTATATTATTATCACTCATGGTTGGGATTCTGGAATGCACAATGGGGCTATTGAGGTAATTTTGCCTCAATAACTTCTCTTTTTAATATCATCTTAACTCTTTAATTCCATTGATCAATGTTTTTTTTTTATTCATTATAGGCTAGGATGGCTCATCCGCTTTATCAGCCACTCTGTCATTTCTGGTTTTACAACTGCTTCTGCCATTGTTATTGCCCTATCTCAAGCAAAATATTTCTTGGGATATAGTATAGTGAGAAGCAGTGAAATAATCCCACTGGTTAAGAGTATAATATCAGGTGCAGATAAGGTATCTCAATATTATCAGTCATATACATTTTACAAAATCTTTTCAATACTATATTAGGCAGAAATATGGGGATTTTACTTATATCTTTTATTAATTACTGTGGTAACCATTGACAATGGTTTCTGTTTGTAGTTTTCATGGCCTCCTTTTGTGATGGGGTTGACTATTCTTGCAATCATGTTGACCATGAAGCAATTGGTGAAGTAGTTCTTCCAAGTAAGTTAAAATTTCATGTGTCACACTTTGAGCTCACTAATTTTTTACAGTCGTGTTCTGTTTACAGGGTAAAACAAGGAAAAATTTACGGTTTTTGCGAGCAGGTGGGCCCCTCACTGCAGTTGTTCTGGGTACAACTTTTGTAAAGATATTTCATCCATCTTCCATTTCCTTGGTGAGAGAACAATAATAATAATAATAGAATCTTTGAAATTGAACTTTTTAATAGAATTACTGTTTCTGTTGACTGTTATATAAATATAACCAGTGTGAGAAATTTAGGTGGGAGATATACCTCAAGGGCTCCCCTCTTTTTCCATTCCTAAAGAGTTTACATATGTCAAGTCATTAATCCCAACCACTTTTTTAATCACTGGAGTGGCTATACTGGTGAGAACAGGATTCTATTATTAGCTGCAATCTTTAATATCTTTTCATTATTTACACAATTAGTCCTTTGACTTAATATCAACCATCCACTCACTTCAGGAATCTGTGGGGATTGCCAAAGCTCTGGCAGCAAAGAATGGATATGAATTGGATTCAAATCAAGAGGTATTTTATTTATATAATTTTATTTGTAAAAAAGAAACCAAATCATAAATCTTTTCTGACTCATTCAATGTTTTTTTAACAGTTGTTTGGCCTAGGAGTCGCCAATATTTTTGGGTCCTTTTTCTCAGCATACCCTGCAACAGGTAAGATATCTTCTTGAATGAGACTAAATGACCATTTTACCCTTGCATTGGATGGGAAAATAGGTAAATAGTTTAGTCTATATAGCTTCATGTGGTTAACCATTAAGTCAAAAAAGGAACAAGTGATAGTTTTATAAATGATGTATTTATTGAAATGATTCTAAAGGACCAGTTTCGAATTAAATATATGTTTTATAGGTTCCTTTTCAAGGTCAGCAGTTAATAATGAAAGTGGGGCAAAAACCGGTTTGTCAGGATTTGTCATGGGCATTATCATCTGCTCTGCTTTGTTATTCATGACACCATTGTTTGAATTTATACCTCAGGTACATATAATACACTTATTAAAACTTTTTATTTTCTACATTGACTTCACTTCACCTCTTGTTGACTTTTTGTTATCACTTTTTTTTTTACAGTGTGCTCTAGCTGCCATTGTAGTCTCTGCTGTAATTGGGCTAGTAAGTTTCCTTATTTGATCTTGTGTAGGACCCATGGATATATATATATATATATATATATATATATATATATATATATATATATATATATATATATATATCTTATTGTTGACATCCTAAGTTTTAATTATTATTTAATAATAATAATAATTACAGGTAGACTATGAAGAGGCAATCTTTTTATGGCGAGTAGATAAAAAGGATTTTTTTCTTTGGACAGTTACAAGTACAACAACTTTATTCTTTGGGATAGAGATTGGGGTCCTTGTTGGGGTATTTTGCATTTGCATTTATTTATTTCTTCATATATTAATTTTCTTCAATTAGTAATTAATCTGGTTGTTGGGAATGACTTTATAGGTGGGGTTTTCTCTTGCTTTTGTGATCCATGAATCAGCAAATCCACATATTGGTGAGGAAAGAGAAATTGTTGTATTACAAATTTACAATTACCACATGTGACTTATATTTATGGATAATTGTAAATTTTATTTATTTATTTTATATAATAATTGTATTTCCAGCTGTGTTGGGGCGTCTACCTGGCACAACTGTGTATAGAAACATCCAACAGTATCCAGAAGCATATACATACAACGGGATTGTCATTGTTCGTATAGATGCACCTTTATATTTTGCCAATACAAGCTTTATAAAAGACAGGTCAATACTAAATTACTAATCTGCCCTTTCAATGACTAAAGATATAACAAAAAAACTATAGTGGTTACGTTTTTTTTTAATGTGTTTCAGGCTGCGGGAGTATGAAATTGCGGTTGACCAATCTGGGAGCAGGCGTGGACCAGAAGTTGAAAGAATATATTTTTTAATTCTAGAGATGGCACGTATGTACTTAACATTTTAAACATCATATCTTTTTAATAGAGTAAATTACATTTTGGTCCCTAAGTAAAGCTAATTTTTTCAATTTTAGTCTTTATTTAAGGTTCGGTTCTTGTAACGTCTCTCTGATCCATGTTTCAATGACTATTTTTTGGCCCCTCTGATTTTTTTTGCAAATTTGGTTCGAAAAATATAGTTATTTTACTTGGAACAAGGAACAAAAACGTTACAAGAGACCAAAACTGAAAGAGAAAACTTTTTGGAACCAAAACTGAAAAAACCAGCTATACTGAGGGACCAAAAATGTAATTTACTATGCAAGGTTTTGAGTTTTTGATTGGTGTTCATTTCAGCTGTTACTTATGCGGACTCCAGCGCAGTTCAAGCTTTAAAAGAGTTGTATCAGGAATACAAATCAAGAAACATCCAGGTGCAAACTTTTGAATTTAAAAAAATATATATATATATATATATATATATATATATATTATATATATATATATATATATATATATATATATATATATATATATATATATATATATATATATATATATATATTGAGAAAAAATAAACAAGGGCAAATTTGTAAATGCAGATAGCAATTGCGAATCCAAATGGAGATGTTCTTGAGACTCTAGCAAGATCTGGATTCATAGATCTGGTGGGTAGAGAGTGGTGTTTTGTTAGAGTGCATGATGCTGTTCAAGTTTGTCTTCAAAATGTAGAGACATTAATCTCGACTGGTTTACCTAATAAAACACCACCAAAACCATCTATACATAACAGTTCAAGCTTTATACAAAGACTCAAACAGAAACGTAAACAGGACTTATCTTCAGATGATATGGAATCAGGTGAAACACAGCTTACACTGGAGCCCCTGTTGCCTCACAAATAATAATCTTACCGACTTTTTGTTGACATATTTCAACTTCGAATGATTTTGAACGATTTTGTATTACACTTTAATTGGATATGGTTGCTTTCTTTGTTATAACAAATTTATTTACGTAATTTTAAAACCTACTTTTGTTGAACACTTATATACAAATAAATCACTATAGTGCAAGTTAAACACAAAATACATATATAACACAAACTTATGATGCTTGTCAAACTTAAAGTCGGATTCAAGTTTAGAATTGTGGTTATATATATATATATATATATATATATATATATATATATATATATATATATATATATATATATATATATATATATATATATATATATATAGGGGTAAGATCAAATAAAAATACTAAAAATTTTAAGAACACGAGAACAAATCTGAATCATTTAAATAATTAAATCAAAGGTTGTTATCAAACCACTAATTTATGTAAATTTAAAAAATTAGAGGTATTAAAATGTAACTTTTAAATAGTGATAAGGGTATCATAGTAATTGCATCTTTAGCACCGTTAGTTAATTCATATAATTCCTCAATCACTCACAGTCTCACATATTTCCTTTTATTTCGCATCTCTCTTTATCTCTCACTGTAAACCCATATACGCCTCCACCGCCTCCATCTTCATCTCTTGCTATAAACCCAAATATGGCTCCACCACCTCCATCTTATATGCAACACCATCTGTTCACCATCATCATTACATACCTACGCCACCATTCTGCACAAACCTACATCATTGATCCACCACCATCGCTTGCATCATATTTCACCATCAACCTCCATCATTATCTTCAATTGAAGATGTGTAGGCTTGCGTTTCGTTGTGTTGACGATTGGATTTTGAGAGAAGAAAGGGGGTTTACCATCTTCTTTCGGGAAAAAAAACCTCTGCCATCTCCATCTGACGGTAGCTGCATCACCATTTTCTCAACAAATTAGGGCTTTTATTGATTGGCCACACAATCAAATGATCAAATGAAAACATATGTTACATTTTCTTTTTCTGTTATTCTGTTCATGTAATGTCTTTCTTTTTGATTCATATAAATTGTTTTTTGGGAGGGATCTTGTTAAAATATTTATATTGTTAGGAAGTTTCCTTGAGGTTATAATTGATTATCTTATATAATTTATTTAAGAAGAAGGGATAATGTCATAAAAAGCCTTAAGTTTGGCAGAAAATGTCGGTTTTACCATTCGGTAGATTTTTGGTTCGTTTATACCGCAAATTTGTCATTTTTTGTTGGTTTTGTCCTTGTTACCTGCAATAGCAGGTTTCCAGGTTATTATGAATTATTTTTTTGCAAAAAAACCCTTAAGATTATAAACATATAAAATATAAATATATATTCAAAATTTGATAAAACTAAATAGTTTTCTACTGAAATATATTTTTAGCTTTACATACGGTAACTTTTATATTTGTTTGATATAAACTTTTTATATTCAAAATTTAAAAAACTTACCTAGTTTTAACAAAATTTGAATATATTTCTTAATTAATACTTCAACTTTTCAAAACAAAATTAAAAAACATTTGTTAGTTAATAAGTAATTATGCTAATATAGTTATTATGAATAATATGGTATCATATACATTTAATTAATTTTTTTAAAAGGTAAATAAAAATATTTTATATGTTTAAAAGGTTTGTATTTCAGAAATACTAACATATCGTATTTTTTATATGTTTAAATACATAATAATATTATCATATTTTTTTTATAAAAATATCATAAACATGTTAAACATCAAAAATAAATATAAACATTTTAAACATATAAAATATAAATATATTTATCTAATTTATTATATAAATATATTTATTTTTATATAAAATATGATAGTTTATTATTTCTGAAATTCAAACCTTTTAAACATATAAAATATTTCTATTTTTCTTTTAAAAAAAATTAATTGAATGTCACTAATGTCATATTATTATTAGCTAACAGACGTTTTTTAATGTTACTTTGAAAAGTTTAAGTATTAATTAATAAATATTTAAATTTTGATAAAACTAGGTAACTTTTTAAAAATTTAAATATAAAAACTTTATATCAAACAAATATAAAATTTACCGTACATAAAGCTAAAAATATGTTTCAGTAGAGAACTATTTAGTTTTATAAAATTTTGAAAATATATTTATATTTTATATGTTTATAATCTTAAGGGTTTTTTTACAAAATATTTGTAAACTTAAGGGTTTTTTCGCAAAAAATAATTCATAATAACCTGGAAACCTGCTATTGCAGGTAACAAGGGCAAAACCGACAAATAAATGACAAGTTTACAGTATAAATGAACCAAAAATCTGTCGAAGGGTAAAACCGATATTTTCTGCCAAACTTAAGGTTTTTTTATGACATTATCCCTAAGAAGAAATAGATAATAAATGTGTTTATCTAAAAATCATCATCGTTGATTTCTACTGAGCCTCCGTGACCGGATAAATTAATAGAATAAGCGAACGGAAGTGAATGGCTATAATTTTTTTGAGTGTGAGCTTTTTCGATGATGCCAATATCCCCATTTTATATTATTGACTTATTACAAAATTACTTTATATTATTCAATTACAACATTCTTTGTCTAAATAATTTTAATGGTGATTAAGTTGTTTAATAAACCATTTGAGTTGTCTAACTATAATGAAAATGCACACATACAACGCAAGCTACTATGACTATCAACCTTTCATTAGATGTAAATAATTTTTCGAGTTTTATTCATTAATGATTATCTAGTTTCTATTCATTAAATAACTTTTTTTCGACTTTTATTCATTAATGATTATCAAGTTTTTATTCATTAACGATTATAAAATTGGGTACCGGGAAAGTATCTTCTTGAATATCATTTAAGTTATTGCCAATTTCTATCCGGGTGTGTTTTGTTGGCTATAAATCCTTGTTTTATATGTGTTTGTTGGCAAATGTAATATTAAAATGGCATCAGATTTTTATGTGACATACTTTGTGATTTTTTCTATGATTTTTATAGGTTTCATTGGAGTTCATAAAGAAAGATACAAGAAAAAACGAGTATAAATTTAGGTTGAATCAGCTATATCTCATTGGAGTTAATAATGTCGAAAGATACGATTAAAAAAAAAATACAAATTCAGGTTGAAAAATCCAAGAATAACAACTATATCTCATCTTTATTTTTGAGTGTCGCAAAAAACTATATTTTTTTTTATGTTCTTAGTTCATTTGTTGTTATAACTAAACTAAATTTTTTATGTTCATATTTCCTTTTATTCATCAATGAATACAAATGTATTGGTTTTTCTACCTTTGGAATGTATTTTATTATTTTTTTTTTTTTTTTTTTTTTTTTTTTTTTTTTTTATCTTCACATGATGTTTTATTTATTCTGTCGTTTGGTGTCACTTATAACCACTTATGATCAACATAATACGGTTAAATAAAAACTTAAAAAAATCATTTTATGTATGCTTTCTTTCAATAATGAATACATCGGAAAATTATTTTCAATCTTGATAAAAATAGAGTAAAAATCAAAATCACTAAAATTATATAAATATAATTGGTTTTAATCATTTATGGTGGAAATCGTATGAATCATATATTAGATAAATTTAAAAAAATGAACGAAATATCATCCACTAATAAAAGAAGAAAAAGTCATTAAATTCGGTTTTTGGTAACGATCGAACATAATCCCTAAATTTTAGGAAAATCTTAATTAATATATATATATATATATATATATATATATATATATATATATATATATATATATATATATATATATAAAATTAAAACTCACAATTACTAATATGCTCTTATATATTGATTGGTCCAGATTTGTTCTCGCGTTCTCAACCTTTTAGGTATTCTCAATTGATTCATTCCTTATATATATATATATATATATATATATATATATATATATATATAGAGAGAGAGAGAGAGAGAGAGGTGAGTTCATTTGAGAAAAATAAAAAAAGATTGAGAATGGATGAATCATTCTCAATCACTCATTTAATCTAAGAATAAAAAGACAGGGTGGCAAACTTGTAAATATGTAAATAACCTTCAATCTCAAATACGTAACTATAGAGAATTCGATAATAGTTCGTTCATTATCAAAAATTTTCCTCCAACCTTCAATAATCATCCAGATAATTTCAAGTAAACCGGAATTTCTTCGTTGTTCATGAAATTGGAATCGAAGTTCTGGACTCGCAATCACAGTCGACATTGAAGGACTCGGAATCGGTACTCACAGGTTCCCAATCGGATTTTCGAAAATCAAAATCAAAATGAGAAATCAATCAGACATAGGATGTCGCATCTGAAGTCGAAATCGGAAGTATATGATGATTTGGAATTGATAACTTGATGTTTTTAACATTTTCAAAATAGTTAACTTGTATGCACTCCAACTGTTTGATGAAATGCATAAACTAAATTACCACGTTATATTCACATATGAATATGTTTTGTCACCTGAATTAGTATATGATTATTAAAAACACAAAACAAATATGCAAGTCTGTATGTTATTCATATGTGAATAACATATAAAAATTATATATATTTGTCAAAATACCTTCAAATATTCATAAGTGAATATATTCACAAGTGAATATATTCACAAGTGAATATATTCACAAGTGAATATATTCACAAGTGAATATACCTTATAATATTCATATGTGAATATACTGTGTAATATTCATAAGTGAATATATCATCTAATATTCACAAGTGAATATAGTATGTAATAATCACATGTGATATACCATGTAATATTCACATATGAAATATCATTTAATACTCATAAGTGAATATACCATCTAATATTCACAAGTGAATATATTATGTTAATATTTACAAGTGAATGCATCGTCCAATATTAAAATATGAATATACTATGTTTATTATATGCTATATTCACATATGAATGATACTTAAATAGTAAAAAAAAAATCATACTTTTTATTCATAAGTGAATAATGAATGTACTGTAATAAAACCCGATGCATTTTTATTCACTTATGAATAACGATAGCTGAAAACATAAAAAAAAATTATTTTATCTTAAGACTATATCAATATGGATGTCTATTTGTAGAAAATAAAA